TATATATTGGCCTTTGGTTTGTAGATGTTTATTGTCTTGGATTCTAATTGCTTGATCATATATTGTATGATTAAGATTGATCAACATAAAAAGAAGCCTTCATAATATATAGAAAAATATAACTTTTTTTTTTCTGTCACTCTTGTTAAAAATTAATCCCATTTGCAGTATTATTTGATCGAAAGAATTTTCCACCCAATAGAAATTTAAAGACGGGATTTTTCTTTAAATAACTTATGAGCGCATAGTATCGAATTAATACACTAACTCGTGGGATTAAACAAATTAACTTATTAGGTTATTCTTATCATGACAAGTCCGAAACTCATTTTCGGTTCACATGTTAATAACTTTTCCAACATATTTTAGTAGTTCACCACCCGTATCCCTTTTCTTAATTGCACTCTTATAACTTACGTAGATGCAAGGGTATATCAAATAAAACGTTGAGCAAGAAGCAAAAATTAGACTCATCTAGAACCATGGTTTCTCCCCTTCTTTGGCTAGGCCCAAAATTGACCAACAAGCATTGAGAATTGCAATTGTCAAAATGTTTGTGGCAATGGAGCTCCCATTTCGATGTATCGAGCATGAAGCTATTCGTGAGTTTTTAAGCATTGTAGCACCCTCTCTTAATGTCATCTCACGTACTACCCTAGCACGTGATATTTATAAACTTTGGGATAGTGAAAGAGAAAAGTTAAAGGAATTTATTTCTCAAAACTGTCAAAGGGTTTGCCTCACCACAGACACATGGACTTCATCTCAAAATTTGAGTTATATGTGCTTGACTGCTCATTTTATTGACAATAATTGGAAGCTGCAAAAGAAGGTGTTAAACTTTTGTCAAGTCACTAGTAAAGACCATGGATAAAAAGGTTGAACATTTCTTGAGTAAATGGGGTTGAATCATGTTCTTACTTTGACAGTTGATAATGCCTCGTCAAATGATGTTGGAATCAAATATCTATAAAAAAAGGTTGATGTCTTAGAATAGTTTGGTTATGAAGGGAGATTATATTCACATGCGTTGTTGTGCCCATATTTTGAATTTGATTGTGAAAGAAGGTTTCAAGGATAACATTGATGCTATTTTTGAGAATTCGCAGTGCTGTAAAATATGTACGATCTTCCCCTTCTAGGTTGTCTAAATTCAAGACATGTGTTGAGAAACAAAATATTGAATACAAAGGCCTTGTTTGCTTGGATGTGGAAACCAGATGGAATTCTACCTACTTAATGTTAGAGGCTGCATTGAAACTTCACAAGGCTTTTGAAGAGCTTGAGATGCAAGATAAGAAGTATATCAAAGAGTTAGAAAAGGTAAAGGGTGTTCCTTCATATGTTGATTAGGAATTTGTGCGTGCAATCCTACCATTTCTAAAATTGTTTTATGATGCTACTTTGCGCATGTCTGGCTCAGTTTATGTAACTAGTAATATATACATGTTTGAGGTCTTTGGAATTGGAAAGAAGATCAGCCAAACGTGCAATTCTAGGGATATAAATGTATGCATTATGGTAGAAAATATGAAGAAGAAATATGATAAGTATTGGGCAATGCTGATCGTCTAAATATGTTTTTACTTATTGCTCTTATGTTGCATCCAAGATACAAATTACAGTTCATGCATTGGTTGATTAGTCAAATTTTTGGGTGAGGTGGCATCTAGTTTAAAAGAAAAAAGTGAAGTCTAGTTTGAAATTACTTTTTCAAGAGTATAATGGTGGAAGAGATGAAATAGAAGTTAACTCACAAGAAGCTCGATTCAATGAAGGAGGTAGTGATGATCCTTATGGTTATAACCATTTTTTTTTTCAAAAAACTAGCTCTAATAAATTTGAATTAAGCAAATACTTGGAGGAAGCCTTAGAAGAGAGTTACGTAGATTTGGATATTTTGAATTGGTGGAAGCTCAACTCGGGTAGATTTCCAATTCTTTCAAAAATGGCTAAAGATTTGCTTGCCATACCTGTTTCTATAGTGGCCTCTGAATCTGCCTTTAGTATTGGAGGAAAAGTTCTTGATCCATATCGTAATTCTCTTACACGTAGAATGGTAGAAGCACTTATTTGCACACAAGATTGGCTTAAAAGAACACAACTACCATTGTTTTCAAATGAAAATGGGAATTTTGAAGAGTTGGAGAAATTTGAACAAAGTAACAAGCTAGATCTATTTTATACTGCATTATTGTATTATATACTTATTATAATTTGATCAATAATTGATAACTTTTTTTTTTTTATTTTGCAGCAATTGTTTCCCCACCTGACATTGCTTATTGAGCCTCCTCTATTACACCTGGAGATGATTGAAGATGGATTATTTAGTTAATGATATAATTTGGACATTGTAATTCTTGTTGTGGCTCATGTTGCTTTGACTTAATTAGTAGATATTTTGGTGGATATAATATGATCATAGTGATTACTTAGTAGATATTTTGATTTGACTTAAAAGGGTATATAGCCTTAGGTGAGACTCAAAGTCAATTGAGCAAATACGTGGTGGAATGTTTTGAATTGGATATTTTCAAGTTTCTTTTAAGAATTAAGATATGTATTGTAATTCTTAATAGGTGGTGTGAGTTGTTTCCATGGATGTCTTTATTTTTTTCATGTTATAGTTTATTCCTTTTACTTCTAAAAAATAGTTTTAAAATCTGGGTTTAAAAATATTGGTAAAAAAATATGATTAAAAAAAAATTTAAAAATTGAGTTAAAAAAATTTCTTTACAAAATCTGGTTCAAAAAATTGGTTTAAAAAATGTGGTTCAAAAATATGTTTTAAAAAACTGGTTAAAAAACTGGTTTCAAAAAACCAGTTTTAAATCGATTTTTATCCGACCCATTTTAAAAATGGATTAATCCATAAATCTGGATTGAAATTGGTTCGAAACTTGTCCATTAATTAGGTTCGGTTCAAAATCGGATCAATAAACTGGATCGAATCAAAATCTACTAAATCAATTCATTTAAAAGCGGATTGGATCGGTTTGGATCGGTTTTTTAAAAAAACCGATCCATTCCCACCCCTAAAATTAAGAATCAAAGTGGTTATTTACTCTATTAATATAAGAAACTAGTAAGTTCAATCAATATTAATTGTGTAATTATAGAAATTATAATGATATTATAATAAAATATTAACTATATTAATTATTAATTACGAGAGATTTTAAAATAAATATAATAAAAAATTCACATATATTTTTTTTTCACAAGATTCACGTAAAAAAATCTTTTTGTAACATTATAATAAAATATTAATTATTAATTATGAAAAATTTAAAATAGTAAATTATATTTTTAGTCTCTTTGTGATATGAAATTTATAATTTTAGAATTTTATTTGTTGACTCATTTTTATTTTATTTTATCATTTTTGTAAAATAAAAATGAAATTAAAAATAAAATTTATCATAAATATTTTAAATATTAATTGTCATGTTGTTTATTTGATATCACGAGACAAAAACTATAGTTTAACTTAAAAATAATTAAAAAAATCCGTGTAACTTTTTTTTTACAAAAGTCACATTAAAAAAACTATAACCGCATAATAAAACTTTAATTATATTTAATACGGATAATTTTAAATTATATTAATAAAATATTTTATTACATCATAATAATTTTCACTTTTTCTTTCAAATTGCCTATTTTGTAAAAAGTATGAACATCCTTATTTTCTTATTACCTTTTTCCTCTATTAACCAATAACTTAACTTTTCTAGTATTTTTTATAAAATTTTTTAATATAAAAAGAAATAATATTTATTTTTAAAAACTAAAATCAATTTTTTAATATTAAATGAAAATAATTATCTCGTGTGAGAGTATTTTTAGAGATTTTTTTTATAAGAATGTTTTAAATTTTTTTTAACTAATTTAATTTTTTATTTATCATATACGTGCAATTTAATATTTTTGAAAAAATTATTAATAATTAAAATAATCCCACGTTACAATATAAATCTTTTACGTTAAGTAGAAAATATAATTCATATATTTTCAAATATAAACTTTATTTATATATAATTTATTATAAAATTTATTTATATATAATAAATATTTAATGTTCAAATACATATACTAAAAAATACTAATAATAATTAAAAGATTTGGTGTATGGTGGCTCACACTCTTTAACACTCTAATTTTATATAAAAGGTCATGCTTATAACTCATTTTCTCCATAACCAATTAAGTATCATAAGAAAATTAAATAATAGTTTAAATTTATTTTTGATCTTTAAGTTTTTTGTTTATGTAATTTTTGTTTAACTTTTAGTTCATGTTATGACTTTTATTTATTTATTTATTTATTTTACTGTTTTAAGTTATATATCAAATATTTAAACATGAAAAATGATACAACCTTTTGAATATAAGTTTCGAAAATTATTCCGAAAATTAAAATATTAATTTAAATTATAAAATATTAAATCAAATAATTATTTTATAATAAATTTATTAAAAAATATTAATAATTTAATGTTTAAAAGATGATTCAAACTCTATTTATTTTGAAGGATCTAGCATTGTTTACTTAAACATTATTTCATGTAAATTTCAATAAATTTATGTTTAAAGGAATGCTATATCGTTCGAAAACTATATGCAACAGTTGAAAATTTCAAATATTAATATTTTTTAATAATTTTATTATTAAATAATTATTTAATTTAATATTTTATAATTTAAATTAATTTTTTTAAAGATTCGAAATGTATTTCGAGATATTCGGAGGTTGTAGAATTTTTCTTATGACGTGCGTAAAATGATTTGACATGTGAAAAGCAAGAAAAGATTTGGCATGTGAGTAAAAGATAAAAAAGATGTTTAAGACTAAAATATTTTTTTAAGTGTAGAAAACATTCTTTTAGATTTTCTTTTATTTATTAATGTTTGGCTGCGTGAACGAGACCGGTAATTATTAATTAAAAATAAAAAAAAATTGTCGGGATCTTGGTGAAGTGGGGAAACGACGCGTCATATATTGATCTCCATCTGTCATGGACTCATGGAAGAAACGTTTCTGCAATAGTTTCCGTTAACTTATTCTCTATACCCTCTTTATTCGCCTTTCAAACTCCTAACGGGTTCTTCTTACACAGTTCTTGATTGAGTCTTGACTTCAACATGAGCGATGCCAAAGAACAATTTCTCAGAGAGTTTGGTGAATATTACGGCTATCCTAACGGCTCCAAGTCCATTGATCAAATTCGAGCCACTGAATTCAAGAGATTACAATTACAAGGTCATACTCATACTTACTTCATCTTTTCTATGCATTAAGAAAACTCGATATTGTTTCCGTTTCCGATTAACATCCTTTTTATCAATCCCCGTTGGTTATCACTTATCAGCTTTAGTTATCAATGAATTAAAAATCTCTGTTTCAACTGTGCGATTGCGAGTGGACAATTCTTTTCTTATTTGTTTTATGTTTTTCCGATTCGAGATAATAGATCTTGTATACTTGGATCATGCTGGTGCGACTTTATACTCTGACCTGCAAATGGAATCAGTTTTCAATGATCTAACCACTAACGTATACGGAAATCCTCGTATCCTATTATGATTGATAATCGTTACACTTCAATAGTTTACAACTTTCGGATTCTGTCAGAAGGATTCTTAATACTGAATGCAGAGTGAGTTTTTGTATTTGGTGGTTGACACAGTCTTTATGAAGTGAAATTCCTTAATCTTGATACTAGATAGCCAAAGTGATTCCAGTTCTGCAACTCTTGAGATCGTGAGGGATGCCCGCCAGCAGGTATAAGTAAATGTGCAATTAGTAAACATGTTGACCGTGTTCTTTTCACTTAAATATTGATAAATTGGGATTAGTTTCTGGATTGATAGATCTTATAAAGAGAAAAGTTGCTGCTAATATTTTTATGCAAACATCTGTTCTATTTCATTGCTGGATAATATAAGAAGGCGTACTGAATGTCATTAATTTGCCTGGGGGTTTACTTTGTTTTACTTTGGTTGACTGGGGTGGGTCACCAAATTAGGTTTGTCCCAACTAGCTGTTGCTTGCTCACTAGGAAATTGCTGTTGGTGTTTCTTTTTGTACTTTTTGATATCTGTTCTGGAAATTTCTACATTTGCTATTTAACTATCAGTCATACAGGTCCTTGACTACTGCAATGCATCTCCCAAAGAATACAAATGTGTATTTACCTCAGGGGCAACAGCAGCGCTGAAGCTGGTTGGAGAGGCTTTTCCGTGGTGTTGTAACAGTAATTTTATGTATACAATGGAGAATCATAATAGTGTTCTTGGAATAAGAGAGTATCCTGCATGATAAAAAATGATGTTATTCAATTATACAATAATTGCCTTTGTCCCACTCCAGGAGAGTGGAGGGTACAACATGGAGGTAGAAAATGATATTCTAGTGTTCACTTTCTTGTCACAAAGCTGTTGCAAGGAAAAAGAATGGATATTCCATGATAGTTACGGTTAAATATGTTGCTGTTATACAATGTATTTAAGTTAGTAAAGTGGGATAAATAAATCTTGCCATTAGAATGCTAGGATCACACTATTTATCATTGGTTGAAATTTATTAGAAATCACAAAATTTTGTTGGTCCTATTTCCTATATAATAGGCCCTACTCATGATTTTGTAGTTTTTATTTTCAATAAATTTTAATCAATAGTAAAAAGTGTATTAGAAGTGTGTTTCTAGCACTATTCATCATAGCATTAAATGTCCAGAAGTCATTAATATATTTATTTTGTCCCTGATGTGACTCTAATCCAATTTTTTCAAACTATTTTTCTGTTCAATGGGACTTCGGTACTCAACTATATGTGTGTGTGTAATTTTTTTTCTAGTGATTTTCTTTTAATTTCTCAAGTTTGGATTTAGAGAATGCCTTATCTCTTCTGACTCTGTTATCAAATATAATCTTATCTTGCAGGAACACTGCTTTAATGACATTTTTCTGTCATTGTCTGATAAATATAAATGTGTTTTTAAATTTTTTTCATTATGATTGCTTTGCTATAGTAAATTATTAATGATACTGTTCTGTGTACCTCCTTAACTAGTATAGATATGCTCTTGGTCAAGGAGCATCGGCCATTGCGGTAGATATTGAAGAGGATATACATCCTGGAATAACAGGAGAACTGATTTCTACGAAGGTATCACTACATGAGATTCAAAGGAGAAAAGTAGCTGGATCACTGGAAGGAGAGCCAACAGGTAACTGTTGAGGTCATTGATATGTTTCTGGAATCTGGATTTAGGTGACTTACCTTATATCTGTTCGTTCAATGCAGGTGTTGTGTATAATTTGTTTGCCTTTCCCTCAGAGTGCAATTTCTCAGGGTTGAGATTTGGCATGGACTTGGTGAAGATTATCAAAGAAGACTCGAGCAAGATTTTGGGAATTTCTTCAGCTTGCAAGTAAATCATTCTATGAAAAATGACTTGATTTTTGAATATTTAACTATTTGATTGTGCAGACTCTAACATATAGCTTGTATGTAAAATTGATTATGATATGCAATTTATTATGTCCTCATTCAAAATATTCTTTATGTTATTTTGGAAGGCAAGATATTCTGTATGTTGAAAAGAATGTATGATAGATAGAAATTAAATAAACTATTACCATTAAATTCTGAACCCATGTATGCAAATTTTGTTATGTACTCTTTTTGTACATGCTAGATTCCTAATTACTAGAGGTATGACTTTGGGATTTGTGTGTGCATGTATATATTTATATTTACATATGATACATTTCTGAACATATGTTATGCTCCCCACTCAACATATTTAACTATTTGACAGTGCAGACTCAATCATATAGCTTGTATTGTATGTCTAATTGATTATGCCATGCGTTTTTTTACTTCCTTGTATGTCTTCATTCAAAATAGTCTCTATGTTTTATTTTTTAAAGGAAAAATATTCTGTATTTTGAAAAGAGTAGATGATAGATAGTAATTAAATAAACTATAACCTATAATATGTGAACCCATGTATGCAAGTTTTCTTGTGTAAACATTTTGTATATGCTAGATTCCTAAATACTAGAGGCCTGACTTTGGGATTTGTGTGTGCATTTGTATAGTTACATTTACATATGATATATTGCTGAACACTTCTCTGTTATAATAATCATGGTTTCTGGGTTTGGTTTTACTGTTATTTTTACTTTAATTTTAGTACTTTGTAATTGTATTGTTTTTGACAAGAAAAAAAATTATTGATTTTGACAAGAAAAAAAATTATTAAGAGAAAGCAAAAAGGACTAACAAACAAATATTCTCTTTTTGTTGTAACCCATATACACTAACAGAAGGCAGAAATACATATGCAATCTTAGAATAGTGGATTTAAGCCTAACTCAACCATACAAAACTGGCTTGTAAGGTGAGGGTTGCTTTTTACTTATATACTATTTAATTGCCTAATCTCTAGTCGATGTGGGACTTGGGTTTTTCCCAATACACCCTTTCACGTCCAACACTATTGGGCTTGGTACGTGGATAAATGGTGGGTGGTCCTTTTTAATGATCTAGGATTAGTGGGACTTGAGTTTTTTTTTTTTTTTTTTTCTCTCAATACACCCCCTCATGTATATGGCACATGTATCAATGGTGGGTGACCCATTTTTAAGAATCTAGGATAGCTCTGATACCATCTTAGAATAATGGATTTAAGTCTAACTCAACCCTACAAAACCGGCTTGTAAAGCGAGGGTTGCTTTCCACTTATATACTATTTAATTGCCTAATCTCTAGTCGTTGTAGGACTTGGGTTTTTCCCAATATGCAAGATGATAAGAAATCTTCAAAAACTATACCAAGAATGAAAGAGGAAAGAAAAAGAACATGGAATGGATCACAACTTAACAATCTCTCTGTAAATCTACCAAAGACACCACTCTAAATTGACCATTAGTGGAACACCATTAGAACTTTGTGTATTTTTTGCATGCATTTTTATGATGGAGATCCCAACAACAATTGAAGACTATCAAGATGAATTACTATGTTTTGTTTAAGTCACTTTGAGAGAGTGATATGCATGCAGTTAATGGGAAGCAATATCAATGCCAGGAAAATTGTGGAAGATTAGGATAATTTCATATTTTTATTCTCTGCTCAGATTATGATAATTTTAGATTTTTCTTTCCAGGTGATTTGGGATTTCCTTCTGTTTTGATAAGATAAGATTATGCATAACAGAATCCTTATCAGCTGTTCAGATTAGGATAATTTTATATTTTTATTTGGGATTTCTTTCTGTGTTGATAAGATAAGACTATGCTTAACAGAATCCTTATCAGCCTCAGTTTTGAATTTATTTTGGATTTGGCTAGAACAAAATTTAGATAACATCCTATAGATTAGGATTCTTTGAGGATCTCGTATTGATAACTGTACACTAAAAAGGCAGTTTAGAGTTGGAATGAAATCATCAGAAATTATGTTGTCAGAAAACTACTGTGGTTGGCTTAGGAGGGGCTTAGTCAAGGACGAGTCTACGCCTTGCCTTCACTATAGATTACAAGGTGTCTACCATGACTCAATCCTACACAAAGGTTCATAACAGAGAGCTTTATTTGTCTTCAGAAATTCTATGAAGCATCGATTATTGCATATTTTATTTTTTGCTTATCTGCTTACATTTTTTTTTTCACAAGAAATAGACAATGGATGGTTTCTTTTGAGCCACTCACTTTCTCTTTATATGTTTGTTTAATGCGTGTCTATATAACTATGGAGAGAGAACTTTATACCTGTGGAAATTCTTTCAAGTATCAATAATTGTCTATTTGCTTATCTGTTTTATTTATTTATTTTTTATTCCAATAAGAAATGGACAATGGATGGTCTTGATTGATGCTGCAAAGGGATGTGCTACCATGCCACCTGATTTGTCTAAGTATCCTGCAGATTTTGTTGCTATCTCATTTTATAAGGTATAAGAGCATAAATTTTATTTTTTTGTTTTGATCAAGGACTTCTTTGAAAATTGATGGTTTTTCTTCTGCATTTCTGATAGCTGTTTGGCTATCCAACTGGGCTTGGAGCTCTCATTGTTCGAAATGGTAAGTTACTGTTTGTGAATGATTGATATATTATAATTTTATGCTGTCTACATGATTTGATAATTTTCTGAACCTTGTCTAGAAACTAGAATTATACTTCATTCTTTTATTTATTCATCAATCTCTGACATTTAAGTACAATACAGTCATCTATGACTATGTTGGTATTATATATATCATGATGAAATTACTTGTCTGTTAGTTATTAATTATCTTGTTCTTTTACATTACAGATGCTGCCAAGTTACTGAAGAAGACTTATTTTAGTGGAGGTTTGTGGCCTAGCATTTACATTCTTCTTGTGGTTTATACTTAGTTATTTGATTGGTTGGATCTCATCACAGGAACAGTTAGTGCATCGATTGCTGATATTGATTTCATTAAAAGAAGGGAAGGTATTGAGGAACTGTTTGAGGATGGAACTATTTCATTCTTGAGCATAGTATCTATCCACCATGGCTTCAAAATCCTGAATTCTCTAACTGTATCAGCAATATCAAGGTATTCAGAATTGGATAAACATATAAAATATCCAATTTATTACATTAATTTAGCATCATGAATAATGATATCATTTACTATTTGAACATTTTGATAGATGTTTATTTTAGTCTTGTTGGTCTGATGGCCGATTTAACTTGTTGCTTATGCTTTTTGCATCTGATCAAGGAAAAAAAACATCGACAAAGTCACAAAGTAAAAAAAGAATAAATCTGAGTTATTCTAAGCATGTGGTAGGGTTCTTGTAGCAGCATCACATTGCAGCTGGAGATTTTATATTGAGATTTTATGGAGCGCGACCCTAATTGTGTCAATTTGTGGCTGTTGCAGCTGCACTTGGTAACATGGATGTTGTAGTTTTGTGAGCAAATTTATGCCTTTTTGGTTGAGTTCTTTTAAGATAAAATGTGGAACTAGTTTGTAACACTCTTAACTTTTACTCAGGTCATTTTCACAACATAATAATATAATTCCTATAAAATTTTTAGATGTTCACTATTGATTTCCAAAGGTATACGTGAAATTATATGTCCTCCATTTGTCAAATTGGTCCTTCAATGATAATTCAATGCCTTAAGTTTGAGAACTTTCTCCCTTCTGTGAAGCTTCTAGCAAATATCCTTGGTATGACTTGGCCATTTGTAGTGCATGCAGTACTCCCTAGGCAACTCTTGGTGGGGGGTTTCCCATCGGAGGTTGATCCTTTGATGGAATCCTTTCCTGGCACCATAGTGGATCTTGTGCCAAAATTCCCTCCATCAAGCATAACTGATCATCGAGTTTCTTCACTTTGCACAATATGGAAGACTTCAGACAGTGAGGGAAGTTTCTCCTTACCAAGATTCTATGCATGAATAGGATTCTATTTATAATTGAACCCTTGGAGGAACTTAAAGATTCCCCTGCGAAACAATCTTAGTGTGTGCAACTGCATCATCTTTGCACATATTCAAGCCCTAGTAATGGTCTCGCTTGATCCACAACCCTTTCAAGGTTCCATAGTACTCTATCATGGTGAGAGTCCCTTGTCTAGTATTGAAGATCCTCCTCTCAATATCATATCATGCATCAAAACTTTTCTTCATGGAGTATGTATCACAAAGAGGCTCCCACATCTCACGTACAGAGGAATAAAACATATAATTCCGGGTCACTTACTAAGTCATAAAGTTCCATAGCCAGGTCATGATGATAAGAGAGTCCTCATTATTCCATGCTTCCAACTTTGGGTCATGTCGAAATGGATCACCCTTGTCAATATGGCTTACTTTTATATGACCTTTGAGAGTATTATGAACATATTGTGCTCAATGTAGATGGTTATGACAGTCAGGTAATATGAACACACCAAATTCGAAAGTTCACTAGGGCCTAAAGTGATCTCTTGCCACGAATAGTGACGTGTGTGAAGTGACTAAAATAACACAAGAAGGGGGAGTTGAATTGAGTTATAAAATTTTTAGCTCCTTTCTTTGGGGTATAAGATCAAAAACTAAATTTTCACAATGAAGGTTTGTTTTGAGCTTAGAATGCAAATTTAATAAACCTTTATTATAAAATCAGTTATTTGTTGAGAATAATATTTGTAGATATTGCTGATAGTGAGATAAATTGTTTGTTTTAAGTACTGTTTCGAAATGATTATTTATAAAATGAGTTTTATCTTTTCCTAAAGTAGCACAGTAAAGTAGAGTGGGAGAAGAGAGGCTCAACAATTTTATATTGGTTCACCCCAAAACCAAGGTTACATCTAGTTCTCACTACTCCAGTGGGATTCTTACTAACAACAAAACTCCTGCAACCACAAATGGACACACAACCTCTCTTGGTTGTTTATCACCATAAAGCTCACAACTCTTGCAAGACTCCCACTCATAGAGCACTCACAGCGCCACATATGGCAACACCTCAACCACAACATTTACACAAGTCTTAGTTAGGATAACTAATCAACAATTTTTTGTTATTTATGATGATTTGCACATATTACAAATTCTCTCTCTCTCTCTCTCTCTCTCTACAAAGGTTTCCACTTTGGAAAATGAAGTCACACTTCTAAATGTTTACACAATGAGCTCTCAGGATATCAAGTACAAATGTGTGTCTTTCTTTTAAAAGAGGAATGAAGTAGAAAGTGAATTTCCACAACAAAGGATGTTTAGCATGAGCTACACTATGCTGTCTTGCATTAGTGGTCTTGGAAAACCACAATGTTCCCCTTAAATGGGCTGAAAACTATCTGTTGTCTTAGAAAGTAGATTTGGGCCTAACTCAACCTTACAAAATCGACTTATAAGATGAGGGTTGCATCCCACTTATAAATTCTTTATTTGCCATATCTCTAGTTGATATGAGACTTGATTTTTTTCCAATATGTTGAAGAAGGGAAACTTTGGAGCAAGTTAAAAGGTAACTTTTATAAGTACATGCTAGTTGGACTTTTTGACATATGGAACTCATTCTGAGGAACTACTTTGATGTATCATTCCAAACTAATATCTTATTTTGAAAATTCTAAAGGCTTGATTCTTTTTGCTTGATGAGGACATCTTTACAGTGGAAGATACTCTGTTCTTACTGAGGTTGCAGTAAGAGTGTTTAGTCACATATACATGTTCATAAACTATTTTGATGCTTCATCCTGAAGCTTTCTCAACATGTTGGAGATCCCATATCGACTAGTGAAATGGCCAAAATGATGTATATAAATAGGGAACAATCCTCATTGTATAAGCCAATTTTGTAGGATTTAGTTTGGCCCAAACTCACTATTTAAGATGGTGCTAGAGCTTTTTTGGTTTCTAGATATTTTTTGTCTGAGTTTAGGGTTTCAGTCGTTGTAGGCGCTATGACCCACTTTTGTTCTTGTTGTCCCATGACCAAAGCACCACCACCATGATATTAGAATTCTATCTTAGTGAGAGAAGATAATAGAGATATTGTAAATCTGAAATGATTTCATTAGTGCTCAAGATTCCAAGTATCCCTATATTTATAATAGAGAAAATATAAGGTTCAGTTGTAATTGAATAGCAACCCATAACTAACTAACAAAACGAAAAGAATGAAAACTAATACAACAAAGCTCTTAAAAGAGCATACAGTTATACAACAGAAAAACGTAAACTAATTATACATGGCATATTCTAACATTCCCCCCCTTAAGCTGAAGGTGGCTAAGAAGAACTTTCTGACACCATCAGCTTGTGACGAAGATATTTAAATCTTGTTGGAGATAATGCTTTAGTAAGGATGTATGCATATTGCTCATTTGAAAGAAGTTAGTAAGGATGACTTTGAGAGAGTTTTTGAGGACCTTTTCTCTGAGAAAATATGTCAAGTTCCACGTGTTTTGTTCTTGCATGGAGAACCGGGTTGTGCAATAGAGCCACTGTACTAAGGTGGTCACAATATAGAGAAGGTGAAGTAGTTGAGTAGTAAAGTTCCTGTAGAAGGGACTGAATCCACAAAGTTTTAACGGCTGTGGTTGCAAGACTCCTATATTCATCTTCTATGGTTGAGCGAGCTACAATTGTTTGTTTCTTTGACCACCATGATATTAGATTAGGTCCAAGAAATATACAAGAACCAGACATAAACCTCCTATCATCAGGATTCGAGGCCCAGTCTGCATGTGAAAAGGCTGTGAGCTAAAGATGTGTATCAGATGTTGCTGGTTGTAAAAAACGTTCAAGACTGATTACTCCTTTGAGATGTCTTAGTATTCGTTTGACAGCAACCCAGTGAGACTCCAAGGGTGCTGACATAAACTAACGAACCTTGTTAATAGAGAAAGAGACTTCAGGGTGAGTGAGAGTGGTATACTGAAGAGGCTGTGAGCTAAAGATGTGTATCAGATTGCTGGTTGTAAAAAACGTCCAAGACTGATTACTCCTTTGAGATGTCTTAGTATTCGTTTGACAGCAACCCAGTGAGACTCCAAGGGTGCTGACATAAACTAACGAACCTTGTTAATAGAGAAAGAGACTTCAGGGTGAGTGAGAGTGGTATACTGAAGTGAGCCAACCATAGAGCGATAGAGAGAAGGATCAAAGAAGAAGTTAGAACCTTGCTTGGACAACTTGAGACTCCCAACCATTGGGGATGAAATTGCTTTGGCTTCAGACATTTTAACCTTCTCAAGGAGATCATGTATATATTTTCTTTGAGTGAGTAACATGGAACCATTTTTGAGATGTTGAACCTCAACACCCAAGAAATATGTGAGATCACCAAGTTGTTTTAGAGCAAAAACAGTATTAAGATCTTGAGCTAAATCTTGTAGTAGTTGCTTAGAATTTCCTATCAAGATAATGTCATCTACATAGACAAGTAGATACTTAATGTGAGAGTTGTGATCGTAAACAAACAATGATGGATCACATTTACTGGCTGTAAAGCCTTTATTTAGTAAAGTTGCTAAGAGTTTTCAAACCAGGCACGTGGTGCCTGTTTTAGGCCATATAGGGCCATGTGTAACCTACACACAAGTGTTTTATTACCAACTTCAAAACCTGGAGGTTGTTGCATAAATACTTACTCATGAAGACTAGCATTTATAAAGGCATTGTTAATATAAAGTTGTTGATAGACCAATTATAGGTTAGAGCCAAACTAAGAATAACTCTAACGGTTACAAGTTTAATGACAGGAGAGAAGGTTTCTGTATAGTCACTTCTTGGTTGTTGATGAAAGCTCTTAGCTACAAGCCGGGCTTTATACTTGTTGACAAAACCATCTGGGTTTTCTTTTACTTTAAAAACCCACTTACAACTAATAGCTCCTTTATGAGGGCGAAGTGAAACAAGAGACTAGGTATGATTTTTAAGTAAAGCATCATATTCAGCTTGCATGGCTTGTTTCCATTCAGGACTTTTAAGAGCCTCCTTAAAATTTCTAGGTTCAACTTGGGTGACCAAGGCAGAAGGAATATTTTTGAGGGCAATGGTTTTAGACCTAGTAATCAGTATTCGTGTTTAATGGTGAGGAAGTAGGGATAG